ATTTCTGAACAATATTAAGCTTGTATCAGAAACATTTAAAATGCAATGTTAAACCTATTTTTTCTTTCTAATATAATATTTTCGAATCATCATTTACATAAAGAACATGCATAAAGAACATGACAAAATTTTATCCTTAAGATAAATTTAATAATTTATAAAATAAAAATTAATACCCTGTGCAATTGTAATACATATTGAATTTTTCATGAGACTTTAAATCTATTTATATATCTTGAACAAAATAGTAGATAACGTACCTTCACTGTATAACTAATTCCTTCCTTACTTACTAAATGATCTGGATGCAACCATCCTCTAGCTGGTTTACTGATAAAGCTACTACCACCTGCAGCCATTGCTAAATTAACAAATGTCATTGCTTCATTACTGCTTGCTTTAAAGCAAACATGTAGCGATATAACATTGAACTAGATATCTATTTTCTTAAAATTATTCCCAACCATCTATCAACGTTAAAAAATAAGTATATATCCAATTGTGGGAATTTAAAGGTCAAGATTATACAAATAGATTAACAATATGCAAGACAATAATTAGTCTTGTCAAAGCTTAACATTAACTTTCATAGTAACGCATTACAATGGATAATTTAATAATAGCTCCACATTTTTCGAAGGAATTAGGAGGAATATTGGAAGGAGATATGGAGCACTTTATCAATCCCAAAATCAAGATAAGGAATTAAAAGCATGCACAAAGTGACACGCTTGAAATTTTTCGTATAAATCACGCCCTATGCCAGTAACTTTAAAAACTATCAATGCCAATCGGTTTATATACCGAAAACTTAGACTGCATAAAGATCCACGTACCTGATAAATAATCTATCCGCTACCGAATTAATTCACTACAGATTCGACTGTTTATTAATTGATCAACGACACGTCGATTATTGCACGAGGAGTGTCGGGTCCGTCGCTCGGCTCCGACTCGTTACCGATGATTCTACGGATGATTCTGACGTTTATCGAGCACATAAAAGATGATTGACTTATACAAGCATAAGCATAGGCGTGAACTGGCGTACTACTACTATTACACGACAAATGCACGTATGCAGCGATTTAAATTTCGTCTCGTAATACCACGGTTTAATTGGCTGGATCCAACAGTACAGCCAATCAATTGTAATCATTCGATGCCATCAATGAAATATCAAGTCTGTTTTTTTCGTCTAAACTTCTCGCACCAATCACCATTCTTTTTCTTCGCCTCTTATTTCTTCTTATATCAGAAATCAGAAGGTCAAGTATGTATCTTGAAATAATTATACATTAGTATTGTACCGCACTAATTTGTGTATATGTATATACGTATACATACCCATTTACAGAAGTTGAGCCTATAAATGGTGGAACCAATCAGAAAAGAGAAACACTATCCGCTCCATTCTTCCTTGATTCTCTTTGAATGGATAACTTCTTTCTCTATTTACTACAGTTTACTAAAGCCTGATTGGTACTGTTGGATCAACAGCAATCAGACTTTAGTAAACAGAAAAAGAACGTACATCCATTTATCTGGATGATCTAAAAGAATACATCAAGCATTGAGCTTTTAAGCCGATTCTACATTAGAGGATCGATTCTGTAATCTGTCTTGAAATGAGATGAAAATTATAAAAGTAAGCGAATTTACTAAAATACTGATTATTTCTTTGATCAATTCTTAATAAATTTGCTCGCTTTTGTAATTTTTACTTTGTTTGAAGATACAGAATCGATCCCTAGTTACAAACCGATCGCAAGTTTGTTGCGACAGCCAATCTGAAGCTTACATTTTGAAATCGACACTTCATATTGGTTGTCGCAACAAATTTGCGATCAGCTTGCAACTAATGTAGAATCGGCTTTATGGATCCGCTCTATATAATTAAGTCTGCTAAACGCAATCAATGGATGCATTTCGTTGTGCTTATAGCACTTGTAAATATCATTTGTCCATATTTAATAGACAACAAGAATAAACTGAGGCCTCTACACAATAAAAGAAACAGGGAACAGAGAACAGAAAATAAGAATTTCAATCTATCAGAAATCATGTTTTGGAATACACAGTTTCTGATAGGTTAAAATTCTTATTCTCTGTTTTCTGTTCCTTTTCTTGTGCGGAGCCCCTTATTATTATAGTCGTATTTATAGTCAAATCTTATATTCAAGACCGTCTTAAGAAGTTACGAACCAATCAGAAGGCTTCATTAGCGTCTTCAGACATTACTTAAGACGGTCTTGAAATAAGACTCGACTATGAATACTGGCCATAGTCTTATATTTAAGGCTTTCTTAAATTTATCTTTAGATACTCTACGAATTATTTCATTGGCTACTGAACATCTAAAAAAAAACATCTAAAAGATAAATTTAAGGAAGCTTTAAATACAAAGATTATGAATATGGGCAATAGTCGAGTCGCTATTTTACATCGTCACATGAAAAAAGCAGAGTTTTCATTAGATGTCGCTCATCGCATCCAGTGTGCAGTAGGCTTAAACATCAACGTCTGATATAGCAGGTGGCGCATCTATCTATTTATGAATATCAGTTAAATAATTGCACGCCGTGTCCGGCGTGCTGCTCGTTCTTTTTCGTTCATCATTTGATAGACGCGGTAGACACGGAGTAATCCGTTTTAATCGGCGATATAACATAGCCGAGAGTGATTCAAAATGACGGAAACTTTACAATTAAGAGGCACGCTTCGTGGCCACAATGGATGGGTCACGCAAATTGCGACAAACCCGAAATATCCGGACATGATTTTATCTTCTTCACGTGGCAAGTATCAATCGTTGCTAGCCTTTACCTCCTTTTATCTTATCCCTTTTTTACAATTTTGTAATAAAATTCTGATTTTTTAACTTACATTTTAATCACTATTATACTTGCTTCATTTTTTTACTATAATTTTGTGCTACAAAACACGATTTTATTTAATTAGTAAACTTTACATATATCATGTAATATTCCATCTGTTCATACAGCAATTGGAGAATTATAGCAACTAGGATGATGCAGATTTCGATAAAAAAATTATTTTTATTAGCTGAACTTCTTGCATAATTCATTTTTCTCTTGTTATCAATATGATAAGAAAGAGAGGAAAGATAAACTTGCAAGAAGTTCAATTAGAAGGAACAGGCTTAAAGTTTCTGTATCTAACTTATTTATCCTAGTTTAAAGCTTCGTTTTTAACGTTCTTAAAATGTTCTTAAAACAGATTACAATTGAAAGACTTGTTGAAAAATTCAATTAACTCTATTTTTTGACAAAAATAACTTTAAATGTATTTAATATACTAAATATTCTACTTCTTTTGGTAAGAAATGGATAACTCTAAGTAAAATAATTAACAGGTTTTGTAAAATATTTTGTGTAATATTCTTCAAGGTTTTTTATTAATATTGTAGTAACTTTTTAAAAAGTTGGATTTTGCATCAAGAGTATTCAATTCATCTCATGTACTCTTTTATTCATACTCTTTAAATTCTTGAATCAGCCTTTATAAACCAAGGATTTGAACTCATTAATTGATTATTCTCACACAGAGCTCCTCATCTATATTATCCCATTAATGTTATCCCATTAATGTTATTTTTATCAATATAGATTAATTTCAGTTTAACTTATCTTTTATCTTTTTCTAATAATCTTTTCCATTTCTCCCAATGTTAATTAACTTTAATCTTGGTTTAAATTTCTTTTTATCTTTTAGTTCTAATAATTAGGAAAAGATAGAAAGTAAATTGACCCAATTAAAGCTATATTGGTAGAAATAGCTAATGTTCAAAACTAGAAAAGGATGAAATAAGTTAAAAATAATCTAAGTTGGTAAAATGAATTAAGTTGCAATATTCGCAATTTTGATTGACTTAATTAGCAATTAATTTAACTGTTAGAATTACTGCAAAATTTATATAATTATTTTTTTCTCAATTTAATCTTTCTTCTCATATCTCTTAGATAACAAAAATTTACTTTTATTCATCTTCATAAAATAGTACAGATTGTGGTAATTAAATTAATTGAAGTCAAATCATCCTAAATTCGTAGAAATAACAATTGCAGCTTATGTATTATTGTTCCATTCTAGATAAGACTCTGATCGTTTGGAAATTGACGCGTGACGAAGCTAACTATGGCATCCCACAAAAACGTCTTTATGGGCACTCGCACTTCATAAGCGACGTAGTTCTTTCATCCGATGGCAATTATGCTCTGTCTGGTTCGTGGGACAAAACGTTGCGTCTTTGGGATTTGGCAGCAGGTCGTACGACTAGAAGATTTGAAGACCATACCAAGGTGTGACTTCGCTCTTCCGCGTCACGACGATGCATATTTGAATTTTCTTCATAACAAAGATAAAGAAAAAATTTTCCATATTATGAGGTATTGCTTCATAATATGAGTTTTTTTATTTATTTTGATTATGATGGAAGAAGTAATTCCGCGAAAAATGAGATATACTGAAGCTTTTTTTTTAATATTTTTTTTTATTGAGAAATAGAAGAGGTAGGATTAAATCAATAATGCCGTAAGTATCGATATTAAAAAATTATAAAACAAATATTGCTTTATTAATTAAGTTTTAACATTAACAATTTTTGTTGAATATAGGATGTTTTGAGCGTCGCTTTCTCTGTGGACAATCGTCAAATTGTCTCCGGTTCACGAGACAAGACGATTAAATTATGGAATACATTAGCTGAATGCAAATATACCATCCAGGATGATGGACACACAGACTGGGTCAGCTGTGTGCGCTTCTCTCCCAACCACGCGAATCCTATCATTGTTTCTGCAGGCTGGGATCGTGTTGTCAAGGTGAGAATAAAGCTTACGTTTACAAGATTCATGATAAATGTAAATGTTTGATAAGAATGATGGATATCTTATATATTATACACATGATATATCTATGAGTGTATGCGGATATGGGACTGACATTAAATGCTGTATATTTCGTTTCTAATTGCATGATAAATTCATTAGTAATTTTAGCAATTCACATCTTTTACAGGTCTGGAATTTGACGAACTGCAGATTAAAGATCAATCATAGTGGTCATACAGGATATCTGAATACTGTTACAGTATCACCTGATGGATCACTGTGCGCATCTGGTGGAAAGGTGCATATAGCATATATTAGATTTATCATTCAAAATATATATTTTTATCATATGAATTATATCATATTAATTCTATTCGCAGGATTGCAAAGCTATGTTGTGGGATCTGAATGATGGAAAACATCTTCATACTTTGGATCATAATGACATCATTACAGCTTTATGCTTCAGTCCTAATCGTTATTGGCTTTGCGCCGCGTTTGGACCATGGATCAAAATCTGGGATCTTGAGACTAAAGAAATGGTCGAAGAATTAAAACCTGAAGTCGTATCTGCAACCAGTAAATCAGAACCTCCCCTCTGCCTGTCTCTCGCATGGTCCACTGACGGCCAGACACTATTTGCTGGGTATTCTGATAATACTATTCGTGTCTGGCAAGTTTCTGTATCTAGCAGATAAATACTTTATAATAAAAACTTACAATTCTCAACAATATGTATAAGTCTTATTATTTACATTCAATATATAATATACAATGTCTACAATGTACAGAATAAGATAACGTGTCCACTATCGTGTATAAGCTAGATTAGCTATAATTCTATTTGTCTTTACTTTCTTCCATTTTCTTAATATTTTGTTCGAATTTCTGAAATTCTTTTTCGGCAATCTTGTCTGTCTCGTCTTCTACTTGTATAACTCCGAGTACTTCAGGGATGTAGAATTGCATCATATTTTGTACACCGTTCCTCAATGTTACTACTGAGCTTGGACAATTGGTACACGAACCTTGCATTTTCAATTTCACAATACCCTCCTCGAAACCCTGTTGCAATTATAAGAAATACAATGTATGACGTCGAGACAATAGGTGTATGATGGAATTCCTTAAGTTAGTTTGGAAATACTTGCCATAAATACAATATCACCACCATCTTCCTGTACTGTAGGACGTATTCGTGTATCCAATAATTCCTTTATCATCTGAACAATCTCATCATCTTCCGCATTAATTTCTACAGAAATAAAAATGATCAGCATTTTATTTTACTCTGAACATTTTGTATAAAATTGTACATCATACGTGTATCCGCTGCAGGTTGGGAAGCTTCATCCATGACTGGCAATCCGCTTGCAAAAAAATCCATAATGGTAGCGAATATCTCTGGCTTCAACAACTTCCATTCTACGTCCTCATCGACTTTTGTAACCGTGATGAAATCAGGTCCGAAAAATATTGCTTTCACTCCCTCGATACGAAATAACATTTTTGCAAGTGGAGAACAGTATGCATCCTTAGCACTTGGAAAGTCTTTCGTACATCCTTCTCCCAATACTGATACTCCTGGGATAAATTTCAAACTATTTGGATTCGGTGTATCTTGCGTTTGGATAAACATGCTACGTCTTTGTTGACTATGTATCAGAGGACTGCGTTTAGGGGATAATGTACAAACTGTTCCATCGCCATGTAAGTGTCTAATGCCAACAGGGAGAACTCTGAAAATAATATGTATAAATGACTTACTGTTTTATTAACTGTGTCGAAAACAGATTTTGTAAATTTTGCCGATGAAATATCAATAGAAATATTATATATATATAT